TTAGAGCAGCATCCTCATGGCCTACAAGGTGCCATTCCTCCACACAAAGGATCCGAACAGAAAGACTGGAAGGACCAGAAATTTAAGAAAACTCCTCTTCAAGGCCATGAAGAAAAAACACATTGAACTCAAGGTATGCAGGCTAAGAAGGAGACAAAGACAATGCTGCCGACATCGCGTGGCCACTCCGCACCTAGCAGCACCATTGTTACAAGGATTTTCTTGAAGCCATATGGGCGTTTAGAAGAGAACGTATCCCTGCCGCATGCTTCGTAACCACACCAAGGTGGACACATTTATTAGATCAAATTATGTGATCAAACGGAGACATTAGTAATGCATGAGACGGCGGCTAGCAGTCAAGTGTCAGCAAAAAATTGCGCCTCCAATCCTCCTGGTTCTGCCAGTGGGCCGCCAACTGACCTTACAGCTGGCATATGTGCGGACCGTCTCTATGGGGGGGTGGCTGCCCCTGCCTATTCTGCACAACTGCATTATGCATGCAGTGGGTCAGCAACTTGATTAAAAACTGTCCGGGCCTTATGTATGAAAGCTGCCCCTGGAACGGGACCAACAGGATCAGGATTTGTGATGCAATGAAGGGACACGGAAAAAAAAGAAAAAAAGAAAAAAAGAGCAAAGACAAGAGGCAATCAACCTTGAAAAAGCACAGCCTTTCAATTGCAACTGCAGCAGTGTTAATTGCAAACCTAAGGTACTGGCAGGCATGCGTCAAAACTGATCACACTCTTAGCTGGCAAGTCTCCGACAGAACTGCCTCGTGAGCAGTGCCATCCTCTCCAGTCCTGATACGCAGTCCGGCCGTGGCAGCATTGAAACATGCGTAAGATCCCTAGAGGCAGTGGCATTGCGGGATCTGAACTGTCAGAAGCACCGTCCTGACACTCCGGACTTCTTAGTCGGATGGAGATGGTCGTCTCCAAACCACAACTCAGGTCCAGGCCACTCAAAGGTCCCACCAGCTGTGGTCAATGTCAGAGGAACCAAGTGAGGCAACCTCTGCAGGAATAGTGGCTGGCACAAAAATTAATAGTTCAAGTTATAGTGATAGTTATAGCATGTTATAGCTATAATTTCAGTAAGAAGAATAGCAGTAGTTCTTCCTCGCCTCGTGTCCAAAACTTGTAGACTGCTTCGGTTGCCCAAAACCAATATGCATGCTGCAAAGGGGTGGCTTTTTTCCACAGAAACTCATCGGCAGTTCCATTTTAGCAGGAAGCACCCGATGAAAGTGCAGATTGCCACCTCTCCAAGCAGCGGGTAGTAATCTGTGTGCCGAGATCCCTTGTTTGACTCCCTGAGGGGGAATGCTTTTTACAACACTTTTGTTTGAGGCCTCCTACTGGCTGCACTGGCAAAATCATGATTCCCTTTACCGGTCTATGCATCAAGTATTGAAGAACTTCTTTCTCAGTTTGTATACCGAGGACGCTGCGCTTGCTCGGGGATCTGCGTGCGGAGGACGCGAAGGCGGATGTGGGCCTCGAATTCAGCAGTACACGGGTGTGGGGGATGGCGCGCAGCTACACAAACTCTTAGAGCCCCACGTCTCCTACCATCCCCACTTCACAGAACTAGCTTCCAAGCTGAAATCCTCATCTCCTCACCACCCTTCTCTCACGGCACTCGGATTTTGGCAATGACTCAAAGTGGGGCTCCACATGAAACTGGCAAAAGCACGCGTCATGTTTCACAGCCTTGCAGAGACACCCACCATATCTATGTAGCCTCCCATGTACTACCTATCACGCCTGGCTTAGGACCTGGAACATGGGGTGTTTGTTGCTAATCAGGTCCTGTATTCCCACACCAAACGCCCAACTACCTCCCGCCAGGGAGAAAGAAGCCTGCAGAGCGATATGGCAATTTCCCAAAATAGGGGGACCCCAATATAGACCCCAAAATACTATGATCCTTATTATTGGGACCCCCAAAAGGGTACCCCCAAATTTTGGGAAACCCCCATGTAATCTCCTGGAATGCACGCAATGGCGACCAAGGAACTGCGGAGAAGCAGCCTCCTACAGGCCAGCGCCTCGTTGCGGCCAGTATCGCATGGTTCCCCTGTAACCCCTTAACAACAAGGGTACTCTTTTCCTATAATACTGGGGTACCTAGTTATTGAATTCATTCCTGGGAACATTGTTTGTTAGGTGGGTAGGGGGAGCTAAATACTACGGGGAATGGGATCAGGTGGTTCTGGGATCCTCGGTGTACAGTATCTACTGACTTCTCGAAGCTACGTAAGCTTTCGAGGTATACTGGGCTTCATATGAGCTATAGCCAAAACTCCTGATATCCCCCTTAATAGCCCGTATACTAGAGTAGTCCCCTATATAATCCTCTATATATACCCCCTTTAAGGAGTTTAGACTATGGCTCATATTACACAGAAAAGCTGAAAGTTTCTTACTGGGCTTACCTTTCTTAGTGGGCAGGTCTGTCATAAGACCGCTGCAGCACTGCATCGATGGATATACATCAGGAGGACCGCCCCGACCCTGTAATAGTGGAATAAACGGAACATAAGAGGACCCTAATATAATCTTTATGATCCCTTATAGTCACTATTACTGGGTGGGGGGGTCCTCCTAAGATATACAACACGTTTGTTCGTGACCAGTACGTCCAAAAAGGCTCGGCTGGCTGAGCGCTGAGCGCAAATGTCACCAAGGCAGCTCCCAAAACGGAGACCTGACCTTGCGGACCACACAATATGGGTGGTTGTCAAAATTATGGTCCCTTTTTTTTATCCCTATTATAATACGGCACCTATTATTCAGGGTACCCAAAAAGGGTACATAGTTTTGACAACCACCCATATGCGGATTTTCAAAATCAAGGAGTTTTTTGGTCTGGGTCTATGAGAGTTAGAACAATTGAGGATATACCAGGGGACTCCAAACTGTTGCAAATTGCCAACATTTCCTGGCTAGAAGCAAGCCGAAGCTATGGTTATGTAGGCAAATCAGATGCCTAAACTGGGAGACAGCTCTGGCCAATGCAAGAACTGTTGCAAGCAGGACTGCCAGGCTGAGAATCACCAGTTTCTGAGTTGTCATAATTAGAATACTCGTATAATGAGAGGGGGGCTACAGTTTGGGACAAAACCCTAGAACTTTTCTCACTGATGCGGCTACGCTGCAATCAACGACTCCGTCAAATTCGAGAGTCAGCATGAAACTGATTGTTTCGAGCTGCCCATCTGCTTTTTTGCTCTGGAGGTCCAATTGATAGTTGAAATGGGTCCAACGTCACAGACTCATCACGGTTATATACGGGGGTATAAAGGGGATTATTATAACAGGGGTTATTAATTGGGATACTAGGGCTTTATCACAGTCTCACCATATGAGCCATAGTCTTAACTCCTAGTATCCCCCTTGGTAACCACTGCAACAGTCCCCTAGATAATCTCCTATATGACCCTTTACGGAGTTTAGACTATGGCTCATATTGAGTAGCGTTTTTTGGTGGTTGAACCTAATAAGGTTATAGTCCCTGTATGAAATACGATAATTACCCAAAAGGAGGTTATAATCTTACTCGATATTGGGTACCATAATATACGGAAGTCAGTCGGTCATAAGAGTCAGGCGTTGAGCACTTTGGCTATGGTACCCAATATCCCCAAATAAAATATTGCTCCCTAAATCCTTAAACCCCAAACCCTAATCCCTAAACCCTAAACCCTAATCCCTAAACCCTATGTTTTCATCAGGGCTATTTCCTATCTTTACAGGACCGAAACGTGAGCAAAGCCGCTTTGGAGGCCGGGTGGGCAGGCCCGGCCTCCCAGAATGTACATGGGTAGTTCCCAAAATTAGGGTCCCATTTTAGTACCCCCAATTAGGGGTACATAGGGATATAGGGGCTATATGAGGATAATGGAAAAGAAAATGGAAGCTGTTTAGGGGTAGTTCCCAAATTCGGGTCCCATTTTGAGACCCCCAAATATTAGGTGCCGTAATCTAATCTATAACCAAGAGGGGCCCACAATTTTGAGAACAGCCCACATGCGCAAGTGAACATGCAGCCACCCTGGGAATTGATTGTAGCTTGGCTGTAGGTTCGTTATGGGGTTGTTCAGGTAGACCCGAATGGGTACCGTGGTGCACTGCAAAGTGCTGCTCACGTGCAAGGGCCTGCTTTTGAGTGCGCTCAGGTCATTGACCTGTTTAGCCCGAAAGCTCAATTGGTGCAGTTCTGAAGCTCAGTTCCTCATCTATCTCTGTTCCCATCGATTGACAGGGTCAGGACTGCACAAGCAACCATGCAGCACAGAATCGCCGGAGGACTTAAATGGTTCTCACGTTCTCCTGAGGGCCCCCACTGCAACTGCTGGGCTTGGGTGACCTACTTGCAGCACAAAACAGGATCGCATGATCCTATGATTCATTCTATTCTGCCACCGTGAAAACATGAACATTTTCTCTTCAGAAGAGACAGACAATATCATATAAATTCCCCATTCTAAGTGGCCTCTTGCTTTGCCGTGGCTTTGGGTCGCATGCATTGAGCCTTGGGTCTGCTGAACTTCCTGCATCAGCCCATGATTTCCCAAGCAGTTGCGGATGGGAGACATGTTGCATGAAGGCTGAGCCAGGGCCCACAAAAATTTTCACAATGGCATTGCCATGGCAGTAGTCACCGGTGTCCTTGTCATCCTGTGACCACTTCATCTAAAAAGCCGCCCCCTGACACGTGTTGAAACTCTTCACGTGGCTGGTGGGCAGTCTGCCGCAAGCCCCTACTCACAATTCTAGCGCCTGCACCTTGATTGCCTTGGCTGCCAGGCGAAAGACCCTGCACAGTTGCAGACTCAGACAAGGAAGTACAGCATCAATTAACTGCCGTAACTCAAAAGATTGCAACAAACTTGATAGGGGAGCACGTCTACATCCATATCTATCCAGTCTATGCAACTGTCTATGCTTTCAGGTCCTCTGAATTTGAAAGGCAGCTGCCAAGCGATCTCATCAGAGGAGGCCCTGAACCATCTCCTGGGTCCGGGGTCCAGCTGTTAAGCTTTGCATTCCACACGACCGCTCAAGCCAAACCTAATCATGGGTTTAGGGGGCAAGCGCTCCAAAAAAATTGAGGTACGTTTCACATAATCACAAGCTGGCAGTTGATGAAGCATGTTCGTTCACACTTTCGCAGACCCTCGCCACCTGGGTACAATTAGCTAGTGCATCGGAGCCGCCAACAGTTCCGCGTGCCTGGTTCCCGTGATTCGGCCCTTCATCTCACCGTCCTCACAGCAAGTCTGACGTCACGCACCCAAAAGCCCAAACAAAAAATAAGCATCGCATTATTGAAAGCACCGATAAATGCACTGCACAGTAGGGCACATTGATAAATGGCCACTGGACTCTTGGGAGGGAGAACAGAACGGCGGCCCAACAGGGTGTCATTTTGCGCCCGAAAGTTTCTGCCGGCGCCCTTGCTGTAAGAAAGGGGCAGCGGCAGCAGATCCTTCAAGTGCAAGTTACGAGTATAGTGAGTAGAACTGGTTGTGCTTCGCATTGCAGTCATGACCTGTCAAATGAGCATGCAGGTACAATGAAACCACCCAGCCTTGAAGACGATGAATGTGGGCAGCTCCCTTACATCCATTTCGGAATACCTTTGACTTGGGGCTGTGCTGATGGGCGTGGCTCTTCATGAAGGTGGCGCTCCATGTGTAATGATGTGCTTCACCAGGAAATTGATCCAACCCTTATCTGGTGCTATCTGTAGCAGTGGCCCACCCACCCCTCACCCCCCCGAGGTCGACAATCTTAGGTGTGCTAGGAGTAGGGGTAGGGTAGGGGCAGCCCGGATACGTTATACATTTTTACAACCTGGAACAAGGGTCAAAGAGCTTTTGACCCCAACCACTCCTAACGTCTCAGCCTAAAACGCCACGCCCAATTTCCAAAAATTAGTATAATATGGTCATAGTATATGTAGCAATATATGTATATACATATATATGGCATGTTATAGTATACCATAACATATCATAGTATATTATAGTATATTACATTCTGCCACATCTGGTGGTCAGGGCGCAAGGGCTTCACGAGCTTTGCATTCTGGCCTGGCGGGGGAAAGCATCAGAAGCAAGAACTGGCAATAAACACCCTAAATAGGGGCTATATAGGGGGTCATATAATAATACAGGGAACTAATATAAGGCTTATTAAGCGGGATACTAGGAGTTTAGACTATAGCTCATACAACCCCAACCTATACCCTATCATGATGTACTGTAGTAGTTTCCGTTTTATTTTCCATCATCCCAATAAACCCCCATAATCTACCATAATATACTATACTATGACCAAAAAAGCAGTTCAAGAACTAATTGTTGAAAAGGTTCTTTCAAGGCGGCAGGAGTACAGAAATGGCTCGCAACTGCTCTTCCTTCCAGAAACCACGGTGCCCACGCAGAATTTGAAAGAGCGATTCCAGACTGACGTCAATTTAACAGGCCATGTACTTATAAGAAGCTGCTTGCCAAGAAGCCTAACATCACATCGCCAACCCTGAACAGTAAACTTGTAGTTCATCCCAACAGTCGCAAGGCCCTGGGGCCTGGCTCAAGACTGATCTTTACGACCTTCAGCCCATCGTCTGCATACTTGGCCTCAGAACCAGCGCAGACTTCTACTACATGCGGGTTGGGCATTTTAACGTTAGCCTTTTTGCATCTGGCCTGGCGCTCAAGAACTTAAACTTTGCAATGCAAACCCTGCAAGCCCCTTGGACCCAACCATCCCTCATTTTCGGAAAGCCCGTGGCGAATCTTCTCCCAGCTCCTATTAGGGGGTCCTTACATTGCAGAGGCTCTCACTCTGGAGGGCATCGATTTTTGCAGAAAGCTGGGACCCAGGTTCTAAGAAGTGATCATGCTCCTTGCGCCGGGCAACCGCCAGCTCTTCCACCTACGGGCGGGAGAGAGATAGTTTGGGACTCAGGATTCTTTCCAGTTGCAATGCGCAAGGCAACGCAAGGCACAACAGGATTGTGGACCTATGGAATCATGACAAATCACTGCAGAAGGGGAAGAAGCTAGTATTGGTGTCTGTTCTCCTAAGCCCCAAACCCTCACTTGGAGCACCATCCTAGGCAGTGAGTTGCTTGCCTGCTTTCAACTACTAATTCTGCTGAAGCGTTCCCTCACAGCCCTGTTTCCGCGCTTCGCCTGACTGGTGTTTAAGCCGCTGAGGCCTAGGATGTCCTAGCCTCTGCGTCAACTGGAGCATCAGTTCAGGTAGGCCCTTGCGTGTACACAGACTTGGTTTCAGGAATCTTGACGCAGAGGCCGGCACTCGAAAACAAGACTTACAAATCGCCGGCTCGTGGCCGTAACTACTTGCTCTTTAAGTAAGCCAACATGGTGTCAGCGTCCGAGACCTCAAATGGGTCTGGGCCAGAGTTCTGCACAGCGTTGGGCTCCATGAAGAGCTTCTCTACTTTCATGTCATCGACGACCATGGAGTACCTCCAAGACCTTTCGCCAAAGCCTCGCTCGCTGTCCCAGACACAGGACATGCCCATGCCACGGGTGAACAGGCACGCTCCATCGGGCAGAAGCTTCACCTTCTTGAACCCCAGGCTTCCTGGTGTCTTGTCCTCCTCCAGGCCTTGCGATAATCCCCACTGCCGCATCACGAATGCATCGTTCACTGAGAGGCAGTACACCTCATCGATGC